TCTCGGAGGGGGGCCAAAAGGTAAAGAATATCTATTTTTTCTTCGATCACTTGCACCTTTACCACCGCAGCTCACCAATGGAGCTTGCGCCGCGGCTCGATTCACAGGCGCAGCAGCATTGCAAGGCATTCTCCAAGCACGGCCGCTCTGGCGTTGCGAGTGCACAGAGAGCCAGCACCAGCCGACAAAAGCACTGATCAGTGCGCAGCGGATCACCGCACGACACTGGGCACGGGACTGGCGCGCGCTGACACTAACAAGGCGCAGACGACGGCTTCCTTAGAAGCCGTCGTCCTCGCCATAGAGGAAGTGGTCCCGAGGCAGATGATCGAATCCGCAAGCACCGTAGTGCTCGCCGAAACAACCATCATCCCCCTCATCCAACTCCCACCGCTTCCGCTCCCGCCGCGCCCCCCGCTGGCGTCCCTGACGGGACTTCCCGCCCCCCCAGCCAGCGTCGCGCAGCAGCGCCACCAGGTCCTCGGTGAGCAGCAGATGCTGCCCAGCCCTCACCTGCTCCCGCCACCCCTCCACCTCCCCAGCGATGCCCTCCCCGCAAAGTAGAAGCTCTGTAGTCCCTCCGGCAAAATGTGTGTTCGCTGCAAACGCGCCTGTCAAACTAAGACCCTCACAGTGGAAGTAGTCAGCCCGCGCCCTCGCCGCATTCACCCCAAGGTGAGTCTGGCCCGCAACTCACACCGACTCCCATGTGCGGGCGAACCCACCATCGAGAGTCCCAAAGTAGAAGCTCTTTAGTCCCTCCGGCAAAACTACGACCCTCGCAGTGGAAGTAGTCAGCCCGCTTATAACCGGCGTTGGGATTGCCCCAATTGGGAATTTTTTCAATGTACGGCAACGTGGCGGGGCAGCCTTGCGGCGGATACGACTCACCTGAACCAAACACGTAAGGGCCCCTGAAGCAAGGGCATCGAATGGTGTTGTCGCAGCAGTATGTCCCTGGTGCGCCGCAGCAAAGTTCCGCCTCGGGCGCCGCAGGCTGTATCGGTACTTCCTCAAAGAGGACCTTTGGTGTCGGCTGATTCCCTGAGGTCGGATAGACGTCTACCGCTCTCACCCTTCCATTTGCCTCTGTCATATTTATGACCCGTGGGTGTTTGATGCCCTGGTTGATTCCTGATACTGCTCCCGGATCTATGTAGCTGCACGTTTGGAAGGGTGAGGTCTGCTCGTCGTGGCAACCCCACCATATGCCGCTCATGCTCGGCGGCGGCGGCGGCGACGGCGGCGGCGGTGGAGAGGCGGATGGCGGCGGTGGAGAGGCGGATGGCGGTGGGGGGCGCGGCGGCCGCGGTGGCGGCGGCGGCGATGACGATGGGCACTCGGGGCAGCCTTTACAGCCGTCCCAGGAGCAGACGGTGTCCCAGGTACTCGAATAGCAAAATGAATTGCAGTTCGGAGGCAGCGGCGGTGGCGGCGATGGAGAGGCGGACGGCGGTGGGGGCCTCGGCGGCGGTGGTGGGTGCGGCGGTGGGTGCGGCGGTGGGGGCCTCGGCGGCGGTGGTGGGTGCGGCGGTGGTGGGTGCGGCGGTGGTGGGTGCGGCGGTGGTGGGTGCGGCGGTGGTGGGTGCGGCGGCGGTGGGTGCGGCGGCGATGGGTGCGGCGGTGGTGGGTGCGGCGGTGGTGGGTGCGGCGGTGGTGGGTGCGGCGGTGGTGGGTGCGGCGGTGGTGGGTGCGGCGGTGGTGGGTGCGGCGGTGGTGGGTGCGGCGGTGGTGGGTGCGGCGGCGGCAGAGAGGCGGGCGGCGGCGGCGGTGAGGGCGAGGGCGAGGGCGAGGGCGAGGGCGAGGGCGGTGGCGGCGGTGGCGGCGGTGGCGGCGGCGGCTGTGGCGGCGGCTGTGGCGGCGGGTTGGGCGCCTTGCCAGGTGGGTAGGGCGCCCGCGAGATGTAGCACAGCTCGACCTTCTCCTTCTTTACGCCCTGCAGCGCCACACTGTTGCAGTAGTCCCATTGCGCGTTCAAGTTGTAGCCGGATGCAAATGTAGCCGCCGATTCCACATCCGTGGAATTGGCGAGTATCCAGCCGTTGTTGCCCGGTGCGCCAGTCCACAGCTGCAGCTTCTGACCCGGCATGTTCGTGAAGCCAGTGATCAACGTCGCATTCATGACCTCCCACTCAGATTGGGTCCCGTGCACAAAGTACTTGTGCAGGCTGGTCTTGGCGGCGTCTGTAGCGCCCGTGATCTCGACGGTCGTTGGGGTGGTGCCGCACGAGCCAGGCCGTGCCCTCGATGGCGCCCTCCGCCTGGGCGCTGGTCGTAAGGTGGCCCGACCACGGGTAGAGGTCCTTCTTTCCGTGTCGCGCGTGGAAAGGGGCGGCGTAAGACTGACCGACGATGCCGTGAGGCCTGTCGCGAGATGGCGCGTCTCCGCGCGCGGAGAAGCCTAGGTCCAGGCGGTGCTCGGGTCCCGCGAGAAGACAGCCTTTGCAGCTTTGCAAGCCGTGCACCGTCACTGTCCAGTTGCCCAACTCGAAGGTGGCGCTCGAGTAGCGCATGGCCATCTTGAGGCCGTAGCAGGTCTTGTGGCCGCGTCTGCCGAACCGGAACGGGCGGCCGACGCAAGTTCCATTGACGACCTGCCAGTCAAAGTTAGTGTCGCTGAGCTCGGACCCCCAGAATGAGGCGGTTGCGCTCCTCTTATGGGCGACGCGCGCGATGACGTGCGCCTCTACTAGGAAGGAGCCATTGACCGTGAGTGCCCCGTTGTGGATTGTGAAGACCGCCTCCTGAATTTTGACGTTGACCGAGAGTCCGGGCGCAGAGAGGAAGTTGTAAAGCACATTGTGGCGGCCGCGAAAGTCGGCCTGCCCGCCGTGCGCAAAATTTAGGTGCGGGTCCTGGAACACGCGGCTCTCGAAGCTGTTCAGGCACGGCTCAGTCATATTTCATTAGCGCGGGCGAGGGCAAAAGCGGGCTGGGCGCTGTTTTAGCCGCTGACCACTCGGCAAAGACGCTCGCGTTCGATCGATCAATTACTTTACGCACATATGCCGGGATTTTGATCGTCTATGGTGAATGAAACGGTTGAACGGTCGAACGGTTTTTTGAAAGGACGACTGAAACGGCTTCCGCCATGTGTAACGTCAAGCTCCGGGATCCAGCGGCCCAGTCAGATTTCTCAGTGTACGTACTTTTAGCTTACACAGTCTGTTGCGGGCATTAAGAAAACGATCCCGCGGCACGCCGCCGTTTCTAAGCCTTTCCACCCACCCCACCCACCCCACGCCGTGGTTTCTTAGCTTCGGCCGGCACCCCAGGTCAGCCGGGATCTAGGAATTTTTAGGTAAAATGACAATAAGGAAGCGCTGGACCGATGCGCCAGTCAGCAGTCTTGGGATGACAGGAAGACGCACACACCTCCATCCACACCGCCCAGAACACCGCAGACTTGGGCAAAATGACAAGTGCGCGCGCCGCAGGCGAAGAGAAATTTTGAGCGGGGCTCCTGTTCACACGTGTGTGGGCCCTTTCTTGGGGCCGCGCCTGCGGCGCGCCGTGGTTTCTTAGATTTTCGCGGAAATTGCTTGGTAGGATTTCTTAATGGGACGCTCTGGGAGAAAAGGGAGTGAGCACGGGGCTGTTAGGTTAGTTAGGTTAGGTAGGAAGATGAAGAACAGCCAGGCTCGGACTGGACACCAACGCGGTATGTGATCCTGTGTGAGCTCTGTGTCTTGGTTTGCCAACAACAACAACACAAATCTCTCATCGATTTGTGTTTTGTTAATCTCTCTCTCCCAACAACAAACAAAACAACAACCGACCGAAAAACGCGGTATGGGTGGACGCTGGATGATGACGACACGCACGAGCGACACACAGACACAAACAGGCTCACAAGACACACAGCCAGTTGGCTGCCGGGCTGTATCCGGGGTAGAATTCAGAGGCCGCGCCCCTCCCCCCCTCCGACATAGCTGAAATCCGTGCGACGAGCCTCGCGGCCATGCCGTCGATTACGCTCGAGTGCGCTCCCTCGGCGTCCGGCCGCGTCGGCCCCGTTCTCCTCAGCTTCCGTGACGGCCGGCCGCCGAGCGAGCCGCTCCAGCTCCGGCTCGAGCGCAAGCCCGGGTCGGGCCGGGTGCCGGACCGGGTGCGCGTGCGGGCGCGCGGCCAGCGCGTCAGCTTCGCGGGCGCGCCGGGCGCAGCGCACGGCTCCTATCTGCTCGGCGTGCGCAAAAAGGGCTCGGGTGTGGTGCGCCTCCACGCGCTCTCGGCGCCGCTCCTGATGGGCGCCGCCGAGCCGGACCCGGCCTTCGCCCCCGCGCCGGCGGCGGGCGAGGCGGCGGCGGCGGCGGGCGGCGGCGGCGCGGCGTCGGGTCGCGAGGGCAAGGAGGCGGTTGTCAAGCTGCTCGGCTCGGAAAAGGCGCGGAAGAAGCTCGCGGCCAACGCGGCCAAGCTGGTCAAGCATGACGCGGTGCTGGACGGCGCGTCGCTCAACGCGACGGTTAGCACGGCGCTCGAGGCGACCCCCGCCGAGGACGCCGCCGCCGCCCTCTCCGAGCAGCAGAAGAGGCCGTCGCACCCTCGCTTTGACCTCGCCGCGTCGGCCGCACGCGACGCGTACCCGCGCGACGGGATGGTCGGCGACATCGCGTGGGGCAACCTCAAGTGGGCGTCGCTCGACGAGATGTCCAGGACATGTCCAGGACACCTCTATGACACGTCCCGTAGGCTCGCTCAAGTGGGAGTCGCTCGACGAGGCGGCGCGCAGCGAGGCGCAGCTCTCCGCCATGGCCGGCGAGGAGATCCGCGTCTGGCCGCCCTTCGTGCTGCGCGTGCTGCGGTCTGCGCTGCCAAAGGCTGGGAGAGTCGCCGAGCGGCAGACGAGCGAGCGAGCGGATGTGCTGCGCGGGCTGCTTTACCTCACCTACATGGTGCGCCTCTACGGCCAGAGCCGCGCCATCCCGCCTCCCGCCGCCGCCGACGGCGACAACCACCACCCGCTCGCCCGCAAGCTCGGCATCGAGAGTAGCCGAGAGTGGACGAGAGTAGCCGAGAGTGGACGAGATTAGCCGAGAGTGGACGAGAGTAGCCGAGAGTGGACGAGATTAGCCGAGAGTGGACGAGATTAGCCGAGATTAGCCGAGAGTGGACGAGTTTAGCCGAGAGTGGACGAGTAGCCGAGATTGGACGAGATTAGCCGAGAGTGGACGAGAGTGATCAGAACGCCGTTGTCCGCTCGCCGGGATGGCCCTCATAGATGCACCTCCTGCACAGCAACTCGTTTCTCCTGCCCTATGCACCTACTCCATCCTCCACCTCCACGCACCTGCGCATGCTCCTATACTCGTCCACACCCCGACTGTGTGCTCCTCCTCTCCTGCCCCCAGGCATCGAGCCGATGGACGCGTGGCGCGAGCTGCTCGTCCGCTTCACGGCGCCGCAGGGGGGCTCGTCAGCTTAGATGCCGAGTGCAGACCGGCTCTCCCCAGATCTCTCCCCAGATCTCTCCTCAGATCTCGTAGCCCAGACGCCGAATGGTGTTCTCTCTCTCCCTCCCTCCCTCTCCCCTCCCCCCCGGAGTTTGTGGCTCTCGTATTCACGCGTCTCCTCATGGCGCAGGCTCGTCGGCCGACGACTTGACCGTGACGCGCCGCCTCACGTCCGAGAGCAAGCACAAGCTCGCGATGCACGCGCTCGCGCTGGCGCTCTGGATTGGCCACGGGCAGGGCGACACGGCCGAGCTGGCCAAGCTGCTCTCTCTCACGCCCAAGGAGGCGAACCTCTACCTCCGCCAACTCGGCTGTGCGATGCCGCGCACGCGAGGCTCGACGGCGTGCAGCCTCAAGCTGCCGCTCGAGCTGCCGCGGGTCGAGCAGGGCCGCGCCGCGCCAAAGAAGCGGTAGCTGAGCCGCGAGCGCCACGTGCCGCGCGTCCGCCGCCCGGAGAGGAAGGCGCGCAGCCAGGCCAGGTCGCCCCGAGCCAGGTCGGCGAGGCGGTTGTTGGCAAGAGGGCGCCGCTCATTCCCGATTCCGCCCTGAGAAAAAAACTCCATTTTCTTTTTTCTTCTTCTTTTCGCCACGAAGCTTGGCGCTGTTTTTCTTCTTTGTTTGCCGGCCCCTGCTGTTTGGCGGGTTTCCCTGTTCTTCTTCGCGCGGCCTCGCCCTGCTCCTATGTGATATGTGAAAACCACACAGCGTCAGCGGTCAGGCGGTACACATCTGATCTCCACCCACCGCTGACCAAAAGGCGTCATGTTAGCCGATCCGCATGACCGAGATCACCGCGCGGCACCAAGTGCTGCGCTGCGCACAAAGGGCCCCTACTCCGTCTCGCGCGTGATCGCGAAGCCCAAGACGCAGTGGCCAAAGTCGAGCGCCGCGATGCCGTTCGTGGCTCCGGCCGAGTCGAGGTGGTACCGCTCGTGGATCTCGTAGAGCGAGAGGACGAGGAGCGCCGCCCGCGCGCGGGCCGCCGCGGGGAAGAGCGAGTGGCTTGCCGGCGACCACAGCGCCGCCGCCCGCCGGACCAGCGCCGCCGCCTCGCCCGCACCGCCCGCGGCGCGCCGCAGCGGCGTCGGCTCGCCCTCGTGCAAGCTTGCGCCGCTGCGCAGGAGGCAGGTGGCGCGGGCGGCGGTGAGGGTCTCAAGGTGCGCGAGCGGCGTCCAGCCGCGGCTGGCGACCAGCCAGGCGGCGAGGTCGGCGTGGCCGCGGCTGTTTGCGGCCTCCTCGGGCGTGCCGAAGGGCGTAGCGGCGCGGGAGGCGCCGTAGGAGGAGAGGAGCTTGGCGACCTCGAGGTGGCCCTGCCAGCACGCCATGAGCAGCGGCGTGGCGCCGTTGTTGCGGGCTTGGCAGACTGCCGCGCCGGCCTCGAGGAGCAGCCGGATGATGTCGACGTGGCCCAGCTGGCACGCAATGAACAGCGGCGTGGCACCGTTCTGCTTGGCTTGGTTGATCGCCGCGCCAGCCTCGAGGAGCAGCCGGACGCACTCGAGCTGGCCCTTCTGGCACGCCATGTACAGCGGCGTGGCGCCGTCGTTGCCGGCTTGGCTGACCGCCGCGCCAGCCTCGAGGAGCAGCCGGGCGATCTCGAGGTGGCCGTTCTGGCACGCGATGAACAGCGGCGTGGCGCCGTCGTTGCGGGCTTGGTTGACCGCCACGCCAGCCTCGAGGAGCAGCTGGGCGCACTCGAGGTGGCCATCCTCGCACGCGATGTACAGCGGCGTGGCGCCGTTGACGTTGGCTTGGTTGACCGCCGCACTCGACTCGAGGAGCAGCCGGGCGCACTCGAGGTGGCCCTCCTGGCACGCGACGTACAGCGGCGTGTAGCCTTCAGCGTCTGCTTGGTTCACCGCCGCGCCAGCCTCGAGGAGCAGCCGGACGCACTCGATCTCGCCGTTGAAGCTCGCAGCGCTCAGCGGCGTGGTGCCGTCGCTCATTGCTCGGTCGACTGCCGCGCCGACCTCGAGGAGCAGCCGGGCGATCTCGAGGTGGCCCTTGTCGCTCGCGATGAGCAGCGGCGTGACGCCATTCTCCTTGGCCTGGTTGGTCGCCGCGCCAGCCTGCTGGAGCAGCCGGACGCACTCGAGGTGCCCCCCCTCGCTCGCGAGGAGAAGCGCGGTAGCGCCGTAGCTGTCAGCCGCCCCGACGCCGCCCTCGAGCAGCAGCCGCACCGCCTCGGCCTGCCCGTGCCGAGCGGCCCAGGTGAGCAGCGTGACCGCTTCTCGGTGTCGTGCCGCGCGTCGAGCTGGGCCGCGAGCGACGCCGCGCGTCCGCCGCCCGGAGACGAGGGCGTGCAGCGAGGCCAGGTCGCCCCAGCCAGGTCGGCGAGGCGGGTTGGCAGGACACCTTTTTCAGTGTACGTATCTCGCAAATACTTGAAATTTTCCAGGCGATCGGATTTTTCCGCACCCTCGAAATTCGTAACAATCGCCTCGCCGCTCCACAATGCCTTTCTCCGTTGCCTCCAGCCGCGCGGCGCCATCGTCCTCGATCCAGTGCCGGCCTGTGACAAGCTTGGCAGCTCGCGGATCGACGATCGCCACGAGCTGCTGCCCGGCGACCGCCGCTCGCCTTCGATGACAGTCGTAACAATCGGCGGTGAGCGGCACCTCCTTGGCCCAGCACCGGTGTTATCACGTCTCAGCTGCTTCATTGCCATGTCCAGTTATGGCGGAGACGCGCTGATAGCATTCCTGTGCACGCAGTTGGACCAGCACGGCCATCGGGTGCGTGGCGCAAAAAGACCTGTTTGCGCTGTCTTCGATATCAGCGGCTACATGCGCTGCTGCGCGTACCTGTGATTCACACATGTTGATCACATCCATATACCTCACTAACATACAGCTGGCGAGCATTGCATCCCTCGTCTGGCCATGCTGTGCATCATCTCACCGTATGCAGCCGTATACGCCCACGGTGCTCACAGGGTCGGGCGTCACGGTGCTCGTGGCAAGCATCTCCGTCACTCTTGTGACTTGTGGGCTTGGTGGTGTTGCCTCCGGTGCTACTGCTGGCTAGGGTGCCAATGGCGCGACGGGAGGCGGCCATTGGCGCCACTACAGCAACGATTGTTACGCCGTGGAAAAATTCCGGATTTCGTGCCCCGAACCGGCCGACACGTGGCCGCATATATGTGTATATACCACGTCCGTATTGTGGTTCACTTACGCGTGGTCGGACAAG